TATCGAACCCGTAGCTTTGGGACACTTGGGCCTTGTAGCCTCGAGACTCTCGAAATCTTCCTATATTGACTGTCTAAGCACTTTCTGCGAACTTTGGAACTCTTGGGACTTATCGGACCCGTGGCTTTGGGACTCTTGGGCCTTCGAGACACTTTAGTCTCTTCAAACTGGTAAGGTCTTTAATAGACTAGGATCTCTTGGGCCTTTGAGAGCATTGGAACTCTTCTATACTATTAAAAATTCTAAAACTCAGAGTCTCTGGCAACATTGTGAATCTAATTATGAACAATACAAATTTCCAAGTAACTCATGTGCGGATTTAGACGGCAGATTGCGAGGCTCCGGGTTTCTCGCGAACATTCGATAATTTGTGGCCACAAAAGCCGTGGGAACTGAGCCTCGATACCGATTTTTATCTCGTTTATCCGAACGCTAAATCATCGCGGCAGCGACGCCAGGTCTCGGCGTTAGAAACAACGAGTTATGGCGTCGCGCGATCGCAGCCTCGCAGCTTCGGTTCATTTCTATTTACGGTGACGTTAAACGATGATCGATCTCCGGCCAGCAAAGAACGAAGCGAGGAAATCTAATTGCGTATCAAATTGCGTTGTTTAGTCGCGACATGAAATTGTATGTAAATGAGCGCTTCTTCGTGACTGGATTGCTTTCCTATGGATTTCATTTTTGTTTACGATCGCCGCGGGGTGGGGGAGGGGGGAGGCGCTTGGCACACAATCATTTCGTTCGAAACGCGCATTTCGCTCGATATAATCGATATTGTATATCCGTAGCAAACATTGTCACCGACGATACAGTCTATTATTGATCCGAAATTATTTCATGTAGCGATGAATCTAATTTGAATGATTGTTTATAGAAGATAAATATAGAAGATCCTTAGCTTCAAACTAGACCAAACGTTAGCAAACTATAAAATAAGATACCTCTGATAGAAAATCTAGAAAACAGCCATACGTTATCGACAAATGCAAATCGAACGACTGATCTAAATTACATAAAGGACCCTTCAGACTGCGTCAAACACGAACAAACCATGAAACGGTATAATGTAAAATGCAAGAGGACTCATCCAACATCTCCGTGCATAATTCACACTATCCCTTTCGTAAGTCAGCCAGGATAGATGACGAACAAACAATCGTCATCTTCAATTCGAACGTTTAAGCTTCGTAACGAGCTCGCCAACGCACAAGCGTGATCACGCAGAGTAACGCAGCATAAAAGAACAACAAACAGCATCGTTAATCCGGCAACAGCACGTTCCCCGTTCCGGCCATCATCTCGCGCATAAGGATTCGCAATAATGTCTTGATAACCCTTCCTTAGGAGCGCATCGTCCGCCAGTTTTCTTCCATTACCATCCCCATTAATGAGATGCGGCGTTACATGCGCTGTAATCAATCTTAACACGCCGCGAATAGCAATCGCTGCGCGGCTGGATACTTTGCGCCTGGCAGTCGACAATTTCGTCCAGGATCGGTCGCTGAATTATTCACTCTTGGATCTAAGCGATCTGAGGTTTGCCACGTCGATTAGTCGGATCGAAATTAACATCTCCCCGTTCGGTCGATAAACGACCTGGTCCTGGTTGATAATTATCAAGAGCACTTTAGTGGACTCGTTGGACTCTGGGAGCTGGTTTGATTTTTGTAATCGTTTCTCGAGTAGAGTCGGAGTAACGACTCAGACCAGTTGGGTTTTTGGACACTGACTTTTCTTTGAAGATTGGTACCTTTGACTAATTGGAACTAATATTTGAGGACAGTTGGAGTTTTGGACTCTATGAATTGGTACGTTCGACTAATTGGGACTAATATTTGAGGAGAGCTGGGGTTTTGGACTCTAAAGATTGGTACCTCGACTAATTGGGACTAATATTTGAGGACAGCTGGGGTTTTGGACTCTATGAATTAGTAGCTTTGACTAATTGGGACTAATATTTGAGGACAGTTGGAGTTTTGGACTCTATGAATTGGTACGTTCGACTAATTGGGACTAATATTTGAGGAGAGCTGGGGTTTTGGACTCTAAAGATTGGTACCTTCGACTAATTGGGACTAACATTTGAGAAAATTTGAGGTTTTAGGCCCTAATATCTCCTAAAAAATTGATACCTTAGAACTGGAGACTAATATCTGAGGAAAATCGAGTCTTAGACTGTGATTTCCACTAAAGAAGTAGAACCTCCGAATTTCCTACTTTCCCGAGATTCTTGGCCCCGGGATACGATGTTGTACCCCGAGGTCAAAGCCACCCAATCAGACCGAAAGACCGGACAACCAGGCATCGACCTAACAAAAGGGAGCAAAAAATAGAGTAAGAGTAGCCCCACGCGATGCGGCTGTGTCCAAGTTACGGTGGCGCCTTTTTGCATTTTTCCAGCTCGACTGGAGAGTCACGACTTTGACCCCCTCCCCCTCCTTCCTTCCCTCTTTCCAGCTCGTTGTCTGCGATCGTCCTCGTACATTTACGTTCGCCATTCCTCTGCGTCCACGTGTGTTACACCTAGCTAGTCCTCTTGCGATACGTCCGACGCTCGCGCGTATCTACAGCCTAGCCGTGTAGC